AGTATTAGAAAACGACATTAATTATTACTAGACCTAATACCATGTTCATGGATTGGTAGAATCAACATCATCAAAATGTCCATACTTCCTAAAGCAATCTATAGGTTCAATGCACTCCCCATTAAAATACCAACAGCATATTTCACTGACCTAGAAAGAACTCTCCAAAAGTTCATTTGGAACAATAACAGACCCTGAATAGCCACAGCAATCCTGAGAAAGAAGAGTAAAGTAGGAAGGATCTCAATAACAGACGTCAAACTGTATTACAAAGCCACTGTTCTCAAAACAGCCTGGTACTGGCACAAGAACAGACATAAAGATCAGTGGAATCGAATCGAGAACCCACATATCAACCCAAATCACTATGCTCAGTTAATATTTGACAAAGGAGGCACGAATATACAATGGAGTCAAGACAGTCTCTTCAATAAATGGTGTTGGGAAAATTGGACAGATACATGCAAAAGAATGAAACTAGATCACCAACTTACACCATACACAAAAATAAATTCAAAATGGATACAGGACTTAAACATAAGTCGGGAAACCATAAAAACACAAGCAGCATCCACGGGCAGCAAAATCTCAGACATATGCCAAAAGAACTTCTTCACTGATACTGCCCCTAGGGCAATGGAAGCTAAAGAGAAAATAAACAAATGGGACTACATCAAAATAAAAAACTTTTTAACAGCAAAGGAAACAATCAACAAAACAACAAGAAAGCCCACTATGTGGGAGAACATATTTGCAAATGTTACCACTGATAAAGGTTTAATATCCAACATCTACTAACAGCTTATACAACTAAATAAAAGGAAGATGAATGATCCAATTAAAAAATGGGCAATGGACCTAAATAGAATATTTTCAAAAGAAGACAGAAGGCCAAAAGGCACGTGAAAACATGCTCAAAGTCACTAATTATACGAGAGATGCAAATCAAAACAACAATGCGGTACCATCTCACACCTGTCAGAATGGCCAACATCAACAAATCAACAAACGACAAGTGTTGGTGAGGTTGTAGAGAAAAAGGAACCCTCGTGCACTGCTGGTGGGAATGCAGACTGGTGCAACCACTGTGGAGAACAGTGTGGAGTTTCCTCAAAAAACTAAAAATGGAACTCCCATTTGACCCAGTAATCCCACTCCTAGGAATATATCCCAAGAAACTAGAAACACCAATCAGAAAGGATATATGCACCCCTATGTTCATAGCAGCACAATCTACAATAGCTAGAATCTGGAAACAGCCTAGGTGCCCGTCAGCAGATGATTGGATCCAAAAACCATGGTACATCTACACAATGGAATACTATGCTGCCATAAAAAAGGAATTCTCATCATTTGCAGCAACCTGGATAGAACTAGAGAACATCACGCTGAGTGAAATAAGGCAGTCAATGAAAGAGAAATACCACATGGCCTCACTCATTTATGGATAATAAAGAACATAAACTGACAAACCAAAAGTCAGATATAAAGACAGTAAAGCAACAAGCAGACCGTAAAATTACAGCGGGGAGAGTAGGGAGATCTGGGGGAGATAAGAGATCAACCGAAGGACTTGTATACATGCATATAAGTACCATCAATGGACACAAAACTCTGGTGAGGGAGGGTATGTATGAAAGGGGGGGGCAACGTTAAAATATGTACACAGATAATAATTTAATAAAAAAAAATTGTAAACATGAAAAAAAAAAAGCTGTGGTACAGTTATACCACAGAATACTATGCAGCAGTAAAAAAGAAGACTCTTTTACCCTTTGAGACAGCATAGAAGAACTTGGAGAGTATCATGCTAAGTGAAATAAGTCAGTCAGAGAAGACAAGTATCACAGGATCTCACTCATATGTGGAATCTAAGTAACAAAATAAACCAATGAACTGAGTGGATCCAGAGACATGGAAGCATGAGGGCGAAATCTCAGAGGGAAAGCGTAAGAGTAGGTGGGCAGGTTACCAACCAAATATCTGGTATGCATATATGCATAACCCACAGCCGCAGACAATAGGGTGCTAAAGGCCTGGGGTGAGGGATGAGGGGCAGGGACAGGCTGTAGGAGATCAATGGGAGAAAAAAGGGGACACGTGTAATACTTTCAATAATTAAAAAAAATTATTTTAGCCCTAGCCAGTTTTGCTCAGTGGATAGAATGTCAGCCTATAGACCAAAGGATCCAGGGTTCGATTCCGGTCAAGGGCACATACCTTGGTTGCAGGCTCCTCCCAGGCCAGGGAACCAATTGATGTGTTTCTCACACATCAATATATCTCTGTCTTTCCCACTCACTTCCACCCTCCCTAAAAATCAATGGAGTAATATCCTTGGGTAAAGATTAACCAAAAAAAATTAAAAAATAAAAACAGAATAAAGAATTACTTATAAAAACACACACACACAAAAAAACCCACAATATAATAAGTGTTTTTATAAAATAGAGCATTTATTTAAAAATTAATTCCTACTTTAGATGAATTAATTCCTACCATAATGAATGCCTTTCTTTCCTTTCCAATCCTATCTGTGTACTCCTGTCACTTCATTTGAGGTTGCTATTAAAAACAAGGACTTGTCAGATGAAATCACCTGCCTATCACCTGACTTGTTATAGATACTGCAGAAAGCAAAAGGCTCAAAGGTAATCCAACTAAAAACTAGAAGAGATTACTGTAATTTGTAGCCCAAGATAAAAATTTTCTTCCTCGGAGGAAAAAAAAAAAAAAAGACGAAAAAGTGTCTAGAGTTTGAACACCTCCAGTGCTGTGCATAATAGAAATGCTGACTTGGAACGCACCCAAACGTGAAGTTAAATATACCATTAGGTGGACAAAGATCTAAACAAAACCTCTTGAAAACAACAGGAGCCTGGCTGGTATGGCTCAGTGGTTGAGGACACAATTCAATTTCCAGTCAGGGTACATGCCTGGTTGCAGGCTTGATCCCCAGAAGGGGGCATGCAGGAGGCACCCAATAGATGATTTTCTCTCATCATTGATGTTTCTATCTCTCCCTTCCACTGAAATTAAAAAAATGCGCGCGCGCGCACACACACACACACACAGACACGACAAGGTATTGACAAACATGAAGAAATTCGAACTCTCATATGCTATTGGTGAAAATATAAAATGGTGCAGTTACTTTGAAAAATAGTTTGGCAGTCCTCAAAGGATTAAACATAGAATTACCTAGTAATTCAACTCCCAGGTATATATCCAAGAGAAATAAAAACTTGACCATGAAAAAACTTGTAAATGAATGTTTAGAGCAGATCATGATAACCAAAAAGTAGAAATAACTTAAATGGCCTAACTGATGAATGGAAAATGTGTTCACAAAAATGAACACATGCTACAATACAGATGAACTTTGAATACAGATGCTACAACACAGATGAACTTTTTACATTTTTCATACTCATGCCCTCATTTCCTTCCCATCTTCATTGCCTATCATCAGACTGTTTTAGCAAACCTAAGCTCCCTATCCCAATCTTTCTCTTCCAGACCCTTTGACACATTGATGTGGGTGTCTTCACAAGAAGTCCCAGCTCTCCCCTGGCTCAAAAATTTTCAGTGGTTCCCACAATCTAAAACACAACCAACACCCTTGCACATTATTTCTACGTACTCCTTCCTTTCACCCTATGCTGCCCACTCTCATCACTCCTGAACATACCATATACCCCTCTCCCACCTCTGGACTCTTGCTTAGCCTGTTCCTGCTGTCTGGTATGCCTTGCACCTCTGCCTATCAATGTCCTATCCATGTTTCAAAGCTGGCTCCTTGTTTACTAACTTTTTCTCAATTTCACAACCCTGCCTCCTAGCCTGTTGGAAATTAACCTCTTTCTTACAGCAAAAACTTATTCTATCTTTATTCCAGGAGTATAGGGGTTATTTCTGACCCATATCTACTTTCCCACAGCATAGCTTAGCATAACACAGGGCCTTCAACCATACTTGCTGAACAATACTGTCATAGAAGATATTATTTGGGCTGTATCTAGGGCAGAAAAGAAAGATGAGAGTATGTGCACCCAGGAACCATATTCTAAAGGTGGGAAAAGATTCTGAGACGACAAGACACATAGGCTATGGAAAGAAGTATACTATAGCAGGGTATACTTGCCTTCTGGAATTCCATTCCCTGCCTTCTGGAATACCTGGACTGCCTAGAGCAGTGGTCAGCAAACTCATTAGTCAACAGAGCCAAATATCAACAGTAGAACAATTGAAATTTCTTTGGAGAACCAAATTTTTTAAACTTAAACTTGTTCTATCGCTATGGTATTTTGTGGAAGAGCCACACTCAAGGGGCCAGAACTACATGTGGCTCGAGAGCTGCAGTTTGCCATCCACGGGCCTAGAGCACTGGACAGTTTCCATGCCTGCTCCCCCATGGTGCCACAAGCCACATTGGTTTCCTGTTTGGAATCAATAGGGCAATTAGTTAAGTTTGAAGAGTGATCTGTTATTTCATTGTCTCAGCCTCACATAGCCCAACTGGGTGGCTCGGGTGGCTATGCAGGCTCCTTAATATTCAAGGGCAGCTACACTTCCCATTTCCTACCACCTGAATGTGAAGATCCAAGATTGCCATCTTAGTCCTCTGCTTGGGAAAGATTACCAATCTGGGAGGTGTGGTGAGGCAGTGCTGGGCTGGGCAGGTCCGAACTAGAACAGCTATGCAATGACTATTAAAGAAGTGACAAGTGCATGGAGTCCATTAGTATATCGTTGTGAGCTTGGGTAAAGGTTTCCAAACTCACTATTCACAGTACCCATCAGTGATCCCTGCTCGGCACAGGGCACTCTTCATCTCTTCTCTGTATCTGTAAACTTCCTGAACATCAGCATTTTCTTTGCAGTTTCCATTCCTTTTCCTGCCTCCTCCTCCTCTCTTTATGGCAACATTTATTTCAGTGGGGGCTGAAGGCACAGTAAAGGGAGTGGGACTAGCTGCTCCTGATCTCTGGAATACTCACTTGATTAGCATAGCGTTTTGGTAGCTTCTTGCCAGTGTCAATGTCCATTTCTTCATCACATTTCTTATCTTCTTCCTCACTCTCCATCCCTGTCCAGTCATCTTCAGCCAGTCTTCTGGCATGATTCACATAATCCAGCCGCTTGCTAGAGAAAGAAAAGGCATAAGCAGCAGTGCGAATTTTAAAACGACAACTTTTAGGGCTTTCTGCTTTAAACTGTTTTATGAGGAGCAGCTAGGCCTTTCTCAAACTCCTGTCTAGTTTTCAAAAACAATCATTTAGTTTATAATTCAATAACTTCTCTATTTCCCTCTATCGTTATCTTCCTCTTTGAAAAAATATTTTTTTATTGACTTCAGAGAGGGAGGGAGGGGGAGGGCGGGGAGAGAGAAAGAGAGAGAGAGGGAATCATTGATCGGCTGCCTCCTGCACGCCCCACAATGGAGATCGAGACCGAAACCCTGATGGGAACTGAACCATGACCTCCTGGTTCATAGGTTGATGCTCAACCACTGAGCCATGCCAGCCAGGTATTATATGTCCCTTTAAAAAAAAAAAATTACATATTGTACAAAATTTGGGAAATGAGAACAGTAATCTTTGGAACCTAATTGTTCCAAAGTGATTTGTAGAGTAGCCCTAGCCCAATAGCTCAGTTGGTGAGAACATCATCCTGATACACCAAGATTGCAGGTTTGATCCTTGTTTAAGAATCAACTAAGAGATCAAGCACTGAGGCAATGAGACCAACTCATCTGGTTTCTCAAACATACATGTTCATGCACATAAAGGTGAACATGAGAGAAGGCATATGCAAACACAATGGTCTTTTATTTAAAGACTAGTGCCCTGTTCACGCACATTGAAGGAAAATTAATTAGAAGGTGGCCGGCAGGATGGGGCTAGGTGCCATGGCTCGAAGGGTGTCTGCAGAGTGAGTGAGGTCCCTCTGGCAGGTGGGATCCCTCAGCCTGGCCTGCGGAGATCAGGCCACACCAGCTCTCCAACATCCCCCTAGGGGTGCAGGAGTGTGACAGGACAGTTCTCTGGTGATGCACCCAGGAATCAGGCTTGATCCTTTCTGGTTCTGGGGTGTGTCACCTGAGAACTGCTGCCAAGTCACCGCAGCTCAGCAGCACCTGCCCCCTGGTGGTTAAGTGTGTATCATAGCTACCGGTCAGAAGATCACTTAGCCTTTTATATCCATCTCAATGCAGGAGCTGCCATAACAGGCACTGACCATTTACAAAGAAACGGCACTATGGACCTGGCACCCACAAATTAACACTCAGCTTCCCCCAAGTGGGACACAGGTCCCACCACCACCCTGAAGTGACCGCCCACCAAATCACAGCTGATGTTGTCAAAACCCCATGGCACAAAATGCAGCCCACAGCCCAGCCCAGCCCAGCCCAACCTGGAAACAGTCGCTTGTGGGTGCTAGGTAATCACGTCACATAGCAACCCCTGGCTTCCTCTCCCTAGCGACTAGCCTTCTTGGAGTTTCCTTAGCCCAGGAACACGACTTGCTTTATAGCCAGGTGCAAACATTTCACTCTTTAACCAAATGTCTATGAAGCGTTTTCCTGTGCCTCATCTCTTTTGATCATCACAGAAGTCCTAGAGAAGGTGGATAGGAGACTTGGTGGAATCCTATTTTCTTTTCATTAGCTGGAAAACGAAGATTTGGAAAGTTTAGAAACTATAAAGAAGAAACGGTGGACCTTGAAAATGACTTCAGGTTTTCTCCCTGCACAGAATATAGTCAAACACTGCTGTAGTTAAATATTTTACCCTTTGTTCTCCCTGCGTGATCTACAATAATAACTTGCTTCATGTTAATATTTACTCCTGTGTTGCTGACAATTACCTGAAAGAGAAGTTGGGATACTTCACTGTGCTAGAAAAAGTTTAGCTACATCAGAAAGCAGGTCTAATTAAGCAAGTTTATCTATATATATACTGGCACCAATCACATGCATGTGTTTTGATCTGTCATTGTCGATTGTGAATTTGGTTGACGCTTCTATTATAGAGAAAATGTGAATAGTGATATTAAAATATTTCTTCTAATTAATTTCCTTTCAATGTGCACAAATCCATGCACTAGGCCTCTTGCATTTAGATAAGGTGTGCTTGTACATGTACAAAAGGATGCATTTCTGTGGTTATTTCCCAAGCATTGTTTTAAGCACAAGAGAACTAAAAAAAACATAAAACAAAATACCTGCCTAGCCGGTGTTGTTCAGTGGTTGAGCATCAACCTATGAACCAGGATCATGGTTAAATTTCTGGGCAGGGTTGCAGGCTTGATCCTCAGTAGGGAGCATGGAGGAGACAATCAATTGACGATTCTCATCATTGATGTTTCTCTCTCCCTTCTTCTCTGAATTATATATATATATATATTTTTTTTTAAAGAGGAAGTAGATATCTGTAATACTATCAACAATAAAAAATATATTAAAGAAAAAGAAGAAGTTACCCATATGCCCATCAATAGGACACTGCTTCCATTATTATATCATGAACTGTCCATTCAATGGAATACCTGGAACTTAACTGATATAGAATTTCTGCAAAAACACACTGTTAACTAAATGTTCAGAACAATATACTTACTATATTTGCTACCTAAAAAAAATGTCTCCAGGCGAGGTAGCTCTAGTCACCAAAAGGGTATGGATTCAATTTCTAGTCAGGGAATATACCAGCCGATATTTCTCCTTACACAGATGTTTTCCTCTCTCTCTCTCAAATCAATAATTAAAATAAAATAAAAAAATCTTCAAATGAGGATTTAAAAAAAAGGTCATCACACACTTGCTCATTTTGCAGAGAATATCTTTGAAAGGATACATAAGAAACTAATAATATGAGAGATAAACTGAATAGCTAGGGGAAAGAATTAAGAGGAAGACTTTTCACCAATTATATTGCAATGGGTAATACATTCATTACATGTATTCATTGTTCAAAATTCAAAATATATAAATTATAGTGTGGTGTTTTTTTGTTTGTTTAAGAGGGGACATGGGGTAATCTGAAAAGGTAATCTGCAAGCAACAAAGAGGCCACAGGGAACCATTTCTGCTAAATACGTGCAGTGATGCAACACTGGGCAAAATACAGATGGTACAAAAACTGTGCTGCTGTTAATACCTCCTCTTGATTATCAATTCCTTAACTGATTACCCAGAAGAGACCCATGTTGCACTGAGAATACGACAGGCCTTGCCTTCAGAGAAGCATAGACTCAAACATTCCTATTCTGCTCTCTTTTCCTGTATGCTCATCGTGGCACTGAGAATTATGTGTATGGAAGACATTTCCTCAGGTTCCCTGTGGAATTTTTTGTCTGGAGCTCTCAAGGTCACTACAGAAACATCTAGACCACATGTATCAAACACAAGGCCCGCGGGCCAAATCCGTCCCGCCAGGCCTTGCAATGTGGCCCGCACTGCGCTGTCATCACTGCACTCCGCTGCGTTTCCATCACAATGACAGTTTATGACTGTTCAATAAACCATTCGGCCCGCGATTTAGGCTGGATTTTAGATTTTGGCCCCTTCTCTGATTGAGTTCGACACCCCTAATCTAGACTGTAGGCAGACAGGAAGAACACACCAAGGCCAGGATTCAGAATGTGGAGAAGCTACACAGGGAATGTAGGGAGTGGAAGTCTGGGCGTGACTTTCAATAGTCCATACATTACAAAGCTCAGTACTGCTACCAGGAAAAAAAAAAAAAAGAAAAAGAAAAAAGAAAAATTTAAACAAATAATTGAATTTTTACTTTCAAACTTCCTCATCTTTTTTTCTAAGCTGTGAATGATATCTACCTCTACCATAATTTATTCCTCCCAACCTTGTGGATAAGATGATCGATCAACCTACAAAGGGTCTACTTTGAAGAGAATTCTGTAGAAGTGAGCCTACAGTTTTCTGAACTGTTCACAATGCTCAGCCTGGAGAAAAAAAGCCAGGGAGTCAAAGCATCTCTTACAATTTCTGCCGTTCCAATAACTGTTGACGCCGCTCACTCTGCTCCAAGGAACTGTACTTGGACTTGTACTGGGACAGGCGGGGGTGCGGGGCAGCTGTGCTATTCAGATCTTGAGACACAGAAAAGCTACTAGCCAGAGCTTGACTCAGTTCTTCCATTTTCCCTATAAAGGAAAATATAAGATGGTTCATTCATTTTATATTTATAACTTCCTGTATACAGGCAGTTATAACATGGTATCTACATTGCTAAAAAAAAAAAAACTTACTTAATCCAAAATCATAATGGTTTCCATGGAAAAAATGAAAGTTAAAGGTAAAAGAGTTACAGATGAGCAATTATGGTTATTTCCTACAGGTATTTTAATAATGATCCTTCTGATAACTCTGAGTGTATAGATATAAACTTAAACAGTCACTAAGCAATCTCACCTTAGGATTCAATCTAACTTTTGCTCTTTGCCATCCATTACCAGGGGTTCTGTCATTAATTCCTTCTTATCACCATTGATAACCCCAGTAATGTGATTCAAGTACCTAACTTTTTCCTTAATAACTCTAGTCATTACTCATTAACTAACATAACTTTCTGATGCAAATTTTATCCAATTGGTTGTTTAATTCTCTAATAAACATTAAGAAAATTTGGCTCCAGGAAAAATACTGGTTCTGGGACCTTTACCAAAAGCAGTTACTTTCTCTTAGCAGTTACTTTCTCTTTTTATAGTTTGTTTTGTTTGGAGGGGGCCAAAGAAAGTTTTCAGAACTACCCACTTAGGACTCACTTAAAAAATGATAGCTTAAAAAAGATAGCAAGAATGTATAGAATGTAGAAGGTTGTCTACTAGCTAATATCATGTGCTTTAGAAATGTGAAGAACTGACATGTGGTACCTTTGGGAGAAGAGAGAGTATATGTCAGACTGGAGAAAGACTACCCAGGTAGGCCCTAAAGAATTAAAGTGGCCGAAGCCGGTTTGGCTCAGTGGTACAGCGTCTTGGCTCAGTGGTAGAGCGTCGGTCTACGGACTGAAAGGTCCCAGGTTCGATTCCGGCCAAGGGCATGTACGTTGGTTGCAGGCACATCCCCTGTAGGGGGTGTGCAAGAGGCAGCTGGTCAATGTTTCTCTCTCATCGACATTTCTAGCTCTCTATCTCTCTCCCTTCCTCTCTGTAAAAAATCAATAAAATATATATATTTTTAAAAAGAATTAAAGTGGAGAAGGTGAATTCACACTTCACTCTTCTATGAATAAAGGTAGCTTACCCAAAGGTTAAAGGTGTGCCTCAGAAGAAAAGGGAAACATCTGAGAGACAGCTAGCTGGACAGGCCTAACCCTTTAGTTCCCTGGGCAAGACAGTGCTTCAAGTTCACCTCAGTGCAGGTCCCACTTCTCTGAGCATCAAAACCAACAGGTTCATTCCAGAGCCTCTAGAGTTAAAAATAGACCTTTATGGGCCTCTACTTGGCAATGAGTTACTTCCATTGCACACTTGAGGTCCGATTTTTTTCTTAATTTACAGCATTAGATTTTTTAATTTGAAAGGAACTTTCAAAAATTATGATTAAAAACTCAAGTTACCATCTTAAACCATTTTAAGCACACAATTCAGTAGTGTTTAGTACATTCACATTATTGTTCAATTTTCAGAACTCTTTTCATCTTGCAAAATGTACAGGAAAGGAACTCTTTTTTTTCTTTTTTTTACTTAAGATATCATGGCAATACTTGATCTGAGGCTTGTCTTAACACACATAATGCTACTAGGGTGGCCATTTGCGGTTGAGGATAGGTGATAAGTACTTGGAATCCATAATGGCGAGCTACTTTCTGTACTTTTGCGTAAGTCTGAACACTTCTATAATACAATTTGTGGGTTTCTGCTCTTCTGAGAAACACAAAAAAATCGTAATCGCAGCTTTGGATACTGGGGAGGCTCTCTACACTGCCCCTGGCTGCCTCCGGCTCTTTGCGCCCATTCCTCCACGGTGCAGTCCTTAAGGGTTCCCACCTCAGCATGGTTGGCTTCCTGCTCCAGCTGCGTCTGCGCCCCACTCACCCCCAAATTGCGGACTCACCCAGGACCCGCACCCGCGCTCCCGCCCCTCGCGCGCCGCCCGCCTCTCCTCCTCGTCCTCATCCTCCGCGGCCTCAGGTGCGCACCCCAACCCGAAGGGCTCGAGGCCTTCTGGGCGTCTCTCACCGAGTCCTATCGTTTCTAGGCGGCCGTTCTCCCAGCCACAGCCCCTTCCCCTCCCGATGGAGCCGTTCAGGTATCGAGAGACCTCTCCCCCCGCACAAGTCCCCGAGGGGCTGGGCCAGACGGCGGGGACCAGAGGAACGGAAGCACACCCAGGGGGAGGGAGGCCCGAGATTGGAGCCGGTCGGGGGATCGGAACCGCACCGAGGAGCAGTTAGAGCTAAGGCTCGAACCCAGGACTCACCAGGCCGGGCCACGCGGCGCCGCCACCGCTGCCGCCACAGGCAGGGGCCAGCCAATCAATGGCCGCGGAAGAGTCTCTCGCCCCAAGGCCCGCCCCGCCCCCGCGCCCCCCCGCGCGCCCCAAGATCCGGCCCTTCCGGGGGCGGGGTCTCCGCGCAGCGTTACTTCCGTTCGCCGGGGCTGGTGTTTCCGGTCAGCTGAGGCCCTTTCTGGGAGGGCCTGGCTGGCTGCGCTCCAGCGCCGCCCCTGGGCTCCTCGCGCCCTCAGGAGGCGCCCCGCCCGGTCCCAGACCCGCTTCAGACCCGCTGTGAGCGCGCTGGGCGCTCCCGCTACCCTCCCCTCTCCGCGGTCCCTGAAAGGCTCCCTGCTCTCTTCACTCCCTCTCCCGCTTGAGGGAGCCACGCTGGAACCTGACCTCACTACACCGGGTTTGCTCCAACTGGGAGGTTCCCTTTCATCAGAACGAAACAATCAGTTAACAGAGCATGATTAATATTTTTTATAACTATTGCTAGTCCCCACTAGTCTATTTCTGCCCCTAACACTTAGTCCTTGATGCTACAACTTAAGCAGGAATCGGCCTTCCTCGGCGCCCACCACATAGTAAGAAAGGGAAAACAAAGCACGTTCATGCCTTGGCCGGTTTTGCCCAGTGGATAGAGCATGGGCCGGCCGACTGAAGGGTCATTGGATCGATTCCAGTCAAGGGCACCTACAGTTTCAGGCTCCTGGCCCTGGTGGCGAGCATGCGGGAGAAAACCAATCGATAATGTTTCTGTCTCTCCCTCTCCTCTGTAATCAATAAAAATATATTTAAAAAAAAAACAACAAATCGAAATACTATTTATTGAATGTCTATATTGATCACTGCCTCACATTATCTCATTTAATCTGCAAATATCACAAGTAGAAACTAAAGCCAAGAGAGGTTAGGTAACTTTCCCGTCACACAACTTTTAGTCAAATATTTGAATTTGCTAAATATTTGGCCTAGAAAATGGATATTGCTATTCTACAGAAAGAAAATATACAAAATTGGCACATTTGAATCCAAGGTATGGATAAAAAAAAGGGGGGGGGGTTCTATGGAAAGTAACCTCATAGGTAATCTGATCACAAATTCCTAACGGGGCAGGTAATTGTGGTTAGCCTTTTTTTTTTTTTTTTAATTAATTTTTTACAGAGAAGAAAGGAGAGGGATAGAGAGCTAGAAACATCAATGAGAGAGAAACATCTATCAGCTGCCTCTTGCACACCCCCTACTGGAGATGTACCCACAACCAAGGTATATGCCACATGTGTCAAACACAAGGCCCGCGGGCCAAATCCGTCCCGCCAGGCCTTGCAATGTGGCCCGCACCGCGCTGTCATTACTGCACTCCGCTGCGTTTCCATCACAATGACAGTTTATGACTGTTCAGTAAACCATTCGGCCTGCGATTTAGGCTGGATTTTAGATTTTGGCCCCTTCTCTGATTGAGTTCGACACCCCTAGTATATGCCATTGACCGGAATCTACCTGTGACCTTTCAGTCTGCGGGCCGATGCTGACTGCTGTAAATAAAGTTTTTATTGGACCGTAGTCACAGCCGCTCACTTATATATTGTTTTTTGTTTAGTTTTAGTTTTAGTTTGTTTTTTTTTGGGGGGGGGTAGTTGTGTTTTTTTAAAAATAAATCTTTATTGTTCATATTACTACAAAAGTTTCTCTTTTTTTTTCCCCTCCACCAGGTTCCCACCCCACCCCTCATTGTCCTCATCCATAGGTGCACAGTTTATGTTCACTCTCTTCCCACAGCCCCCACTCCCCTTTTCCCCAAGAATCGTCAGTCCCCTCCCCTTCCATACCTCTGATTCTATTATATTCACCAGTTAATATTGTTCATCAGGTTTTTTAATTCCCTTGGTTTTTAGATTCACTTGTTGATAGTACATATTTGTTGTTCATAATTTTTATCTTTATTTTCTTCCTCTTCCTAAAGAACCCCCTTCAGCAATTCATATAATTCTGGTTTGACAGTGATGAACTCCTTTAGCTTTTTTTTATTTGTGAAGCTCTTTATCTGGCCTTCGATTCTGAGTGATAGCTTTGCTGGGTAGAGTATTTTTGGCTGTAGGTTCTTGCTATTCATCACCTTGATTATTTCTTGCCATTCCTGTCTGGCCTGCATGGTTTCTGTTGAGAAATCAGCAGACAATTGTATGGGTGTTCCTTTATAGGTAACTACCTGCTTTTCTCTTGATACTTTTAATATTCTCTCTTTGTTTTTTGATCTTGGCATTTTAATTATGATGTGTCTTGGTGTGGTCCTCTTTGGATTCCTTTTGTTTGGGGTTCTGTGCACTTCCTGGACTTGTAAGTCTATTTCTTTCACCAGGTGGGGGAAGTTTTCTTTCGCTATTTCTTTCAATATGTTTCTTCTGGGACCCCCAAAATTCTGATGTTGGTTCGCTTGAAGTTGTCCCAGAGGTTTCTTACACTACCTTCAACTTTCTGGATTCTCTTGTCTTGCTTCTGCGGAGGAGTGTCCTCTGGCTCTTTGTGTTCCAGATCTTTGACTTGATTCTTGTTATCTTCCATTCTGTTTTTAGGATCCTGTATAATATTTTTTATTTCAGACAATGTGTTCTTTATTTCTAGTTGATCCCTTTTCATACCCTCATAGGTCTCATTTATTTTATTGGCCTTTTCTAGGAAATTCTTGAAAAACCTTATAAGCGTGGTTTTGAACTCTATATCCAGTTGCTTTTTGTCTTCCATTTCTTTCGTTTGTGATCTGTTTTTTTGTCTTGGCATTTTCACTCAACTCAGAGAAGTTGATAGGGTGGCTTTGTGTGTTAAGGTGTCCTATATGGTTCAGTGGGTCAGCCTCCCAATTATCTGAGGTGGACACTCTTGGTGCACCCCTTTGTGGACTGTGTGTATAGTCTTTTGTAGTTAAGTCTTAATTGTTGTTGGTTTCACTGGTAGGAACTGACCCCTAGGCCAATTAGCTGTGAGGAACAGCTGTGTTTATGCCAGAAGACAGCCTTATTCAAAAGCCTCTGTGCTCAGCTTGGAGGGGGCCGAGTTTCAGGGTGGAGCCTACAGCCTCGGCTTCCTGTTAGCTCCGCCCTATGAGGTTCCTGAGTCTCAGTGTTCCTCAGTGTCCTTTGGTACTCACGGCAAGCACCTCTGAGAGAAAGGTGCCCTTGAGTTTCACCCACTACCGGACAGTCTAGTCTCTCCCACAATGAGCCCGGAACTGGGGTTCAGCACAGTTCGGAGCTTTTATCTCCTTCCCGCCAGGGAAGCCAGCCAGGCACTCAGCCGCACCCCCTCTCCGGCTCTGTCCTATCCCCATGCGCACACAGTGGCTCCGTACCTTAGGCTTTTACAGCTCCTTCGATTTTCCTTCTGGTTTTCTCTTTCCTTCTAGTTGTAGAATTTCTAGTCAGTTAACTTTCCTGTAGTTCTGGATAATGTTCACTTTATATTTAGATGTATTTTTTTGAAATTGTTGTGTGAGGCTGCAGTTAGGCATTTACCTATGCCGCCATTTTGGTTTCCTCTCAATTGTGGTTAGTTTTGCTCCAGGTCTATAACTTCCTTATATAAGCTTTTTTTTTTTTAATATATTTTTTAAAATTAAATTGTTATTTTTGTACATATACCAATGCCCCCCCTCCCATACATACCCTCCCTCCCCAGAGTTTTGTGTCCATTAGTTGTACTTATATGCATGTATACAAGTCCTTCGGTTGATCTCTTATCTACCTCAGATCTCCCAAACCTCCCTGCAGTAATTTGACAGTCTGCTTGTTGCTTTACTGTCTCTATATCTATCTTTTGGTTCTTCAGTTTATAATGTTCTTTATCATCCATATATAAGTGAGGTCATGTGGTGTCTCTCTTTCATTGACTGGCTTGTTTCACTCAGCATGATGCTCTCCAATTTCATCCAGGTTGCTACAAACGATGAGAATTTTTTCTTGTTTTTATGGCAGCATAATATTCCATTGTGTAGATGTACCAAAGTTTTTGGATCCAATCATCTGCTGACAGGCACCTAGGCTGTTTCCAAATCCTAGCTATTGTAAATTGTGCTGCTATGAACATAGGGGTGCATATATCCTTTCTGATTGATGTTTCTAGCTTCTTGGGATATATTCCTAGGAGTGGGATTACTGGGTCAAATGGGAGTTCCATTTTCAGTTTTTTTGAGGAAACTCCATACTGTTCTCCACAGTGGCTGCACCAGTCTACATTCCCACCAGCAGTGCATGAGGGTTCCTTTTTCTCCACAACCTCGCCAACACTTGTCATTTGTTGATTTGTTGATGTTGGCTATTCTGACAGGTGTGAGATGGTACCGCATTGTTGTTTTGATTTGCATCTCTCGGATAATTAGTGACTTGGAGCATGTTTTCATGTGCCTCTTGGCCTTCCTTCTGTCTTCTTTTGAGAAGATTCTATTTAGATCCATTGCCCATTTTTTAATTGGGTCATTTATCTTCCTCTTATTAAGTTGTATAAGCTGTCTGTAGATGTTGGAGATTAAACCTTTAACAGTGATATCATTTATGTTCTCCCATACAGAGGGCTTTCTTGTTGTTTTGTTGATGGTTTCCTTTGCTGTAAAAAAGCTTTTTATTTTGATGTAGTCCCATTTATTTATTTTCTCTTTAGCTTCCAATGCCCTAGGGGAAGTATCAGTGAAGAAGTTCTTTTGGCATATGTCTGAGATTTTGCTGCTTGTGGATGCTTCTAGTATTTTTATGGTTTCCCGACTTATGTTTAAGTCCTGTATCCATTTTGAATTTATTTTTGTGTATGGTGTAAGTTGGTGATCTAGTTTCATTCTTTTGCATGTATCTGTCCAATTTTCCCAACACCATTTATTGAAGAGACTGTCTTGACTCCATTGTATATTCGTGCCTCCTTTGTCAAATATTAACTGAGCATGGTGAGTTGATATCTGGGTTCTCAATTCTATTCCATTGATCTATATGTCTGTTCTTGTGTCAGTACCAGGCTGTTT